TCATTTTTACGGTCGGTATCTGAAATACGACCCAATATTTGTGCACGTACTCTGACCAGATCATGTTGGTTCTGACCCCCGGCCAAACCACAAGCAGGGCAGGAACCACAAACTCAATTCAAGGGACGAGTCCTGTCCAGCAAGGGCATCTGTTGCACAGATGTGATACATGCAAGCACTCCGCAAAGCAACGAGCACATGGGCTACTGCTAAGAATCACCAGCAAACTATGTTCTTGCGATGTTTTGCGTAAGACAAGCAACAACCCCCTGACACTAAATGCCCAATCTAGACCCGGAGCCCTCAATCCTACAACCTCAAGCAACAAAAACAGAAATCAATTAAACAAACAAACGACGAACAAACGAACTGTAACAAAGACACCACCGCACGTACGAACAAAGAAACCAACGAAGGAACGACGGAACGAACAAATCACAAAACACTCCGCCACACAACCAAACAAAACCAACACACCAACAAACACACAAACAAACAAACAAACATACATACATACAAACAAACATACAAACAAACAAACAAACAACAAACAAACAAAAACAAACGAACAAAAACAAACAAACACACACACACACACAAACCAGAAAACACTCTACACCTCCGATCTCCTCGAGGCGGTCTAAGATTTTGGAGCTCTTCGCCTGCCAGGGCACTCCCTGCTTCGGCGCTGAGCAAAACTCCAACCGCTGTAACTAGGGCTTGGGGTATCGGAGTTTAAGGTGTAGGGTCTCGGAGTTTAGGGTTTAGGGTCTTATGAGCCGAGAAGGCTCAGAACTACATAGGACTACTAACTCAGAACCCAAGAGAATCCGATCCGACCGGGGCCTTTTTCCCTGAACTCAGATGACCATTACTGAGAGGCCAGAAGCCAGTGATTGGGCACAAAAAACAGTTGAGATCAAGACCCTAGAAGCCCCTAATGTAGGGGCCTTAATAAATAGAATAGGGTCTTGGGGGGTATATTATACTAGATATTGAAATATGGGAACCCCCCAAAAAATAGTATATGCAATTATTTGAGGCCCCTATGTTACACATTCTTGGGCCCTCCGGCTAAATCATTGAACCCTCAATCCTCCACAAGCCCTAAAACCCCAAGACCCTGAAGGAACCCTAAAACCCCAAAAAACCTGCAAAATACCTTGTAGATCATTTATAAAGGAGCCCTTCAACCCATAAGACTCTCCCGGAACTCCCCCGACTCATCTTGCCACCTGCGCGAGGGCACTGCGCTCCTCCTGGAGTTCAGACCTCTGGGCGATTCCGGGGGCCGGACGGTTTAGGGGTTTAGGGCTTAGGGTTGAGGGGTTTAGGGCTTAGGGGTTTAGGGCTTAGGGGTTTAGCGGTTTAGGCTTAGGGTTCAGGGGTTTAGGCTCATCCTGTCCCCAGAGAACCCTAGAGGCTTCAATTTCAGGACTATGTACCTTAAATTCTACGGGCCTTCATAGCATGATTGAGGGGTGTATTCCTTAGTTAAGGGGTACTGGGCTCTCAGGGTCTTTTTGAGGGTTTGGGGTCAGACCTTCCAATATCGCTTAATTAAGGAACATGCATTGAGGATCATTAAGGGCTCCTTCAAGGGATCTATAAGAGTTTCGATAAGGAGAGGTGTACTATACGAACTAAGGAATATACCGTAAACCATGATAGGGATCCCTATAATGATTTAAGGTATATCCCTTACGGTCTAGGGTTTAGGGTTGTAGGGGACGGATGGTGGCAGGTCTGGCCAGCTTTTTAGCAGATGGTTGGGATCAGGTCAAGGCTTGGAATTGAGACATTGGGGCTTCGACTTCAGATCCGCTTACTTTGGCCCCAAAGTACCTACATAGGGACTACTTTAAGGTCAAAGCATATGCTATTTAGGTACATGGACCCTTAGGGTAAACTGTCTAAACCCCTAAACCCGAAATTCCAAGACTTTAGTGGTCCTTAGGGTGGGTTAGGGTTTATGGGTGTTTGGGATCATTATCGGGTACAATGATCCCTGAAGCCTGTAAACCCTAGCCAACCCTAAGCCCCGGAAACGTACTGGAATCTTCGGCTCCAAGATCAAACTTCCCATAGGCTGCTAAGTAGTTCCTTTTATGGTTCATATTTAGAATCCTATAAGGTAATCCCAAAAAGGAACTACTAAGGAGCCCATGGCTTGAGTCATGAGAGTCGTAGTCGGGTTTCTTGGAAGCATCAACTGCAGGAACAGATCTTGGTAATGATGGACCCGACCCCTCAACCCTGCAACGCTATAGACAGATAGCCACATAAACCTCATCAACCCATGTACGTATCACTGTATAAGCCAATGAAGCCAAGTGGTGCGCCCCAGCTCGTATCTAAGGCCATGAACACCCCTACCACGCCCTACGGAAACCTACATAGCCGCAGCCATAATATCAGACCAAGAAAAGCCACCCCCCACTCCCTAAGCCTAAAAGCTCAAACTGTGAACCCCTACACTTCCCCACACCTAAAGCAATAATCCCAAAAGAAAAGGCCTTCAAACCCTCGGCTCCTGATAAATACAGTGCTGAACTGACCGGGGCTCCGGGCAAGCGCCGTGCATCCCCCGGAGCAAACGCCACGCAAACAACACTGCCTGGGCTTGGCAAGGGCTCTCTCTCCCTCTCTCTCTCTCTCTCTCTCTATCTCGCTCTCCCTCTCTCTCTGTTTATAAACAGACAGAGAGGGAGAGGGAGAGAGAGAGAGAGAGAGACAAACAGAATCCTAGAGAAAGATGGCGAGAGGGAGAGAGAGAGAGAAACACACACACACACACATATACATACATCAAGAAAGTGGTTGCCTGAATTCCACAATATTTCAGGTTGCAATGGGCCGTTAGGCGCTACGGCATCAGGGCTTTGTGGCTCCAGGGGTTGTTCATCGCTTACGGTCTTAGGCTAGCAGAGCGAGGGGTCCGGGGTGAAGACCCGAGCCGGGTACTAGCGTTGCTAGTATGCTGTTGTACATGGGGGTTTCCGAAGATAGGGGATCCTAACATAGTACCCTAAATAATAGGATCCCTATTATAAGGACATGAAAACTAGGTGTTTAACTAAGCTGAACCCGTGATTGACAAAATAAGGGTGTCATACACGAACACACGACCATGCATCCATCCGTTCCATCCATCCATCAGGAGCAGATGGCTCATGGTCCTTACGGGAGTTTCCGAACATAGGGGACCCTATTATAGTACCCTATACATATATAGCAGGATCCGTATTATAAGGACCCCCAAAATAAGGTACCCCTTATTTTCGGAAAGTCCCATATTAGTGATTCTTCAGGTTTCGGTGGTCCGCCCCACATCTGCCCCGATCTCCCGTGCCCTGAGTCGGCGCACCGGGGCCCAACAGCTCTTCCAGCAGCATGCGCAGGGCGCCTCCGTGAGGGAGCGGAAACATGAGAGATAGATAAACACAGAAACATGTACATATACATGTGTTTATACATGTATATATATATATATAGGATTATTATATGTATGTATGTTTATGCATACGTACCTACATATAGATAACTTTTTCAGGGTCCTGCACAGTCATTTTGAGGGTCCGTCAAGGGTACCCGGGTTTCGGCCTGATGTCTTTTGTCCGTCAGGCCTTAGGCATTCCTTCAAGGGACCAAAGGCCATACTCGTTTTGAGGCTGTTGAGAGATGTTGAGCTGGCGAGTTGGGTTTCAGAGAAATTGAGGCCGAGCTCAATAAGGTTAAAGCCCGAAGGAGGGTTTATGGTTGAAGACTGCTTAGGGGTTCGGAGATGGCAACCTAGAGCTGTTGTAGGGGTGCGCGTGCTGTGCTAAGGCCCCATCACTCCAACATGTTTGCGCAAGAGTACGGATAGGTACAGCCCAGTAGATTCCAAAAATGGCACGCAAGCGCACCTGATTGGACCCCCGAGCTGTCCCCTCTACCCCGACGCCTGGGTCACGCAGCTGCGGCGGCACGCGCTCCAACAGCACTGACCGTCGCGCCTGTCATCGAACATCATCGAACCATCTAGCTTGGGTTTGGCTTCAACTCGTTTTGGGGTTTATGGAGGGCATGGAACTTGGATTGAGGGCAGCATTTTTCTCAGGCCGTTAAGATTAATTACGAGCCCAAAACTCGAGATCTCCGAAACTGATGCGAATCGGTTTCATCTACCCCGACCCCAAACCCTAAACCATAAGGCCCTGAATCGGGTCAGGGCCTGCTCGCGGATCATGTCCATACTGACCTGGACGTAGGGCTGCGGCGGCTGGGCCTGCAGAAGGTCTCTTAATAAAAGCAATCTTATCAATAACAATAAGGATAATAGTAATAATAATCACAATAATAACAATAATAATAATAATTATTATTATTGGAATACGCATAGGAATCGTCGTAGTCCTAGTAGTAGTAGTAGTAGTAGTAGTAGTAGTAGCAGCAGCAGCAGCAGCAGTAGTAGTAGCAACAATAATAATTATAGTAACAATAATAATAATAGTAGTAGTAACAATGTCAATTTTAATAGTAGCAAGACTCATAATAGCAATGCTCATATTACGACTACGAGTAACAATGTAAACAATAAAGATAAAGATATAATAACAACCATAGTCGCACAAGAATCATCTAGGGCCCCGTCTTCGGTCTCGGAGCTGCTCGGGCTGGCATTGGCGGTGGGTTTGGATTTGAAAGGTTCGTTTAGAAGACATTTTTTCTCCGCCCCGCGAGTCACAGGTTTAGGGTTTCGAGGTGTGGACGAGAGATTTGGAGTTTGATGTGTGCTAACACAAGTACTCATAACAATAACAGGCGCACCTTCACGATAGGGCGGCTTAGACAAAGTGCCACTATGCTTGCGACGTTGTTCTTGTTGTTGTTAACACGACTTGCAAGCAAATATGTATATATATATATACACATCTAGATCTTACTGTGAGTCTACTTAGACATTGTCTGCCTCAGGGCTTATAATTACCATGGGACCACCAATACCTGAGGCACACGGCCTGAAGCCCCGCGAGGTTCAGCGGGGGCAGCGGCGAGCATGCGCCAGAGGGAATGCAGCTGATGGGGTCACCTTGCAAACAAGGGTTTGTTAAACGTGGTCCTTCTTAAACAGATCCTGCGGCGCTGTTTTCTGAACGTCGCCCCGCATGTCATGTAAATCCGAACCAATCTTTGTGTGCACGTACTACTTGGGGTTCCGGAGAGAGGCTGCTTAAGTTCCTTTTCACCTTGCCATTCAGGTGCTGACAACTTCTGGATCGCAGCAAGTATTCTCGCAATGTGCCGGATGAAGGGCGGCGGCGGGTTCCGAACGACCGGTATAGGACACCGCCTAAGAAGTAACATAAGAACTCCAATTGAGGGGGGGATTTCGCCTGGTTGAAAAGGTCGAAGGCTCGCGGCTTCAAGGGAGTTGTTCAGCTGACAGGCTAACAGTTACAAATTTGGTTGTTGTCTGGAACATCCAAGTGGTCAATCAGGTCCGAACCCTAGGGCTCCAAGTATACAAATAGTACCTACTTTGGGGTCTAAAGTCTGTAAATAGTACCTACTTTGGGCTATTTGGAGCCCCAGGTCCGAAGGGACACCGAGATCGAAGAACCGCTCGGGGCAGCGCCTCCGCAGAGCAGGCGTGGCGGTGTCACCCCGCGGCTCCAGTTGATCTGGATGCTGTTGATGTCCTTACCGGCAGCCAGCATGCTCGGAAGCTGTAGGTTCTTCAGGTCTTCGTACCTTTTCTGTTTAGGATCTCCTAAGCTGCGCACTGATGTTCTTTTCGAGTGTAGAATGGGCAAAACGCGCTCGTTGCAACTGCAAGCACTCCGAAGCCCGAAGGGCAGGCCGGTTTAGGGTATAGGGTTTAGGGTCTTGAGCTGCGAACCGAATGCAAAACTCCAAGCTTCAAGCCTTAAGACATAAACCGAACAACGAACTGTTAAGGATCAGATCCAGGAAAACTAAGAAAAAACGAAAGTCCGGCTTCAAAACAAACGTGTAGCACACCATGCCCATTTTGAGCAGCAGTTCGGTTTTGATCTTCAGGATGTGAGCACAGGGGTTAAGCAAAAAGCAACTAAGTACACTGGTGAGCTTCATGAACATGCAACTGCCCTTTACATGCTGCAAAGGCAAGGAAGGAAGTCGATACACGGCGCCTCTTCGATGTGCTTATGTGTTGCCTGTATAGGGGTAGTTCTCTAAAGTAGGGTCCCTTTATGGGTCCCCAATGTAGTACGGTACCCTTATAAAGCGGACCCTAAAAGGGACCCTAATTTAGAGAGCTACCCATACATAGTCCAGTAGAGGGCCTTTTTTCAGCAGCTTCGCAGCAGAATTGCCGTGTGGAGAGCCATGGGTTTCCAAATATGCATGGGTAACCAGGACGAAACACTGACTTCTGGTAAGGTCCCTTGCACAAAGCTAGCCCCGGAAGCCTTTGACCCGGTGTACTGCCAGGACATAAAATCAGCCACGGTAGCAGCTTGCTCCCGGCTGATGCAATTGCAACACACCCTCAAACCCTAAACCCTGAACCCTAAAGCCTAAACCCTCAAACCCTAAACCCTAAAACCTCAACCCCAGAAGCCCCTTCAAAGCTCTGGGTCCGAGGCCACATGCGGCGAGTGGGGCTCTCTCGGGGTGCCCCCGAAGCTGGGGCTCCACCCTCAGATCGTTCATGCTCAATCGGCGTAGCTCTTCGGGCCTAGGGCTTGTCTTGTCAGCGTAAATGCTATGAGGGCTTCAAGGTTGCCTCAGCATGAAACGTCGTGCCAGCCATGCGTTGCAGGCGAGCTGCTCTACCCCACTCGATTGCCCATTCACTACACCCGGACGCTTCATGCTCAAACTAAGGTTTCCAAACTCCAAACTCTGTGCCTGATCCCTAAAAACCCTAAACCCTAAGCCCAACCTCAAACGAAAAATGCTGATCACCAATTGCAAGCCCGAACCATCCCCAACCCGCCGGTCTTCAACATCAGCTGAGTCCTTTTCGTCAGACCTCAAACCCTCAAGCGCACATCACCAACCCCAAACCCCAAATCCCACAGCTACGAACTCTAAACCCTGAACTCCTTCTAAACCCTATTCTAAACCCTAAACCTCGAATAAACCCTATAACCCTAAATGCAACTAAATCCCCAAAGCCCTACCTTTGGGAACCCTCTAAACTCGACTCTCCCAGAATTCCAGTCTCAAAAACCCTAAAAACCCATAAAACCCCTAAAAACCCCTAAAAACACTATAAAAACAAAAAAACCCTATATAAAAACCAGGACCCGGGATGCCGGGCCGGGCCGAAGTGGCGGCGAGAAATTGGGGTTCTGCGGATTTTCCTGAACTTTAGGGTTTAGGGTTTAGGGCTTTAGGGTTTAGGGGTTTAGGGTTTGGAGTTTAGGGTTTAGGTTCAGGGCTTTAGTGGTTTAAGGGGGTTTGCGCGTTATTTAGGGTTTAGGATTTGGGTGCCATTCTCGGGTTTAGGGTTTGTAAGCTTGGGGGTTTAAGGGATTATTATTTTTTTTGAAGTGCAAGGGGACCTTTCTCTGTCGCTTGGATTTGCTTCGGGTTTAGGGCTCATGGCATCAGGGCTCCCCAAACCCTAAACGGGTTAAACCCTATGCTTTGGGTCTCTGCACGTCAGAGGCATTCGGGCTTTATCATAGGGCAGCTGGGGTTTCAGGGCGCAGGCCTTCTAGGACCTATCGTCTGTAAGAGTTTGGTGCTTAGGTTGACAGGTTAGGGTTTATAGATTTATCAAAAGGACTAGATGAGGAGCTTCAGGATTCTGAGGCTGGGATGACCTACACCGAATTTCACGTTTCGGTTTCAAGTGGCTTCGTATAGAAGAAGTATAGAGTTTGGGCGTTACCCTACCCCACATGCCGGCAAAAAAGCATAACATCCTTAGTTATGCAGTAGTGGTCAGTGAACTCAAGTGGGCACCCAAGCCTGAAGCGATCGTACGCTGGGTGTGGTAGAATGTGAAAACCATGCCTTGGAAGACCCACTCCAACACTTTGCAAAGCAGCCAAACCTGCGAAGCGAAAAATGGCGACCACTCTGTCAGGTCAGAAAAGGAGGTCAGGGGCGGAGGGTTTGGAGCACTGTCTCGTGAAATGTTACTGCTGGCAACACAACAGCCAATCTCAACAATTTCCCAAACTCTGCACAACCACTCCGAAGCCGAATTCAACCGACAGAAACGATGTACGCGAGACAAAGAAAACAGTTCCAAGTGAGCCAGTAAGCTCATCCGTGCTGTTAGCAATACTGGTGCTGGGCCACGATAACCCTGGGGCTCCAAATAGCCCAAAGTAGGTACTATTTACAGACTTTAGACCCCAAAGTAGGTACTATTTGTATACTTAGCACCCTAAACCCCAAACCCTAAACCCCTAAACGGTGCTGGGCCACGATAAGACAACACCTTCGTTAAGCACTGGCAAGTCTTGCTGCAGCTCGGGGGCCGCAGCGTACTGCCGCGGAGTCATCACCATGTTGCCCACCTTCTTACTTCCCCAATAAGCCAGGGAAATAAAAGGTTCAACTTTCAGAGTACTACTAAATTACAAGAACCTAAAAGTTTAAAGGTTGGGTATTGGGGACCTAGGCCTTTCAGGCAGGAGGATGTATGGGGGGGCATATTGTTGATTTTAAGGGCTAATGAAGCTGCACTGTGAAAGGTCGTGCACGAAGAGTCATTCATGCACCTCGACAGTTCTGGGGTTTTCGAACGGCACTACGTAGGCCGAGGGTGTAGTGAGATCAGGCACTTTACCAGACAAGCAACTACAAAGCTCAGATAGCACAGAATGCCAGATAAAGCCTAAACCCTAAACCCCTAAAGCCAAACCCCTAAACCTCTAAACTCTACCCCTAAACCTCTAAACTCTAAACCCCTAAACCCTAAACCCTGAAACTCTAGCCTAAACCCCAAAGCCTGAACCCCTAACCCCTAACCCTAAACCCCAAAACCCTCAACCCCAAACCCCCCAGAACCGGGGACCTTAAACTGCAAAGCCGGAGAGACCCTAAAGTCTTCAACCCGGCAACCCGGACACCTGAAAGAAAGCGGAGGGTTTAGGGTTTAGGGGTTCATGGTTCAGGGGTTTGGGGGTTTAGGGGTTCATGGTTCAGGGGTGTGGGGGTTTTAGGGTTTAAGGTTTAGGATGGTTAAGGGTTTATTCGGGTTTATGGGGTTTAGGGCTTGTTAGGGTTTAGGGTTTAGGGTATAGCCTCGTGACCATAGCTACGTTGATGCAAGCTGTCTGGCCTCATCATCCGACCATCGTTTTGGATGCTAAGCATAATCACTCCTGCTGCTCATCTGTAGGCACAATCATTAGGATCATTCCATTTAGTCAGATTAAGAGCTACAGAAATTTTGCTGTTGATGATATAAATCCTGCATTACCTTAAGGACCCTAATCTATGGGAATTATGGTATCTTTTTCCTCATTATAATGGGTAATGCAGGGCTTATCTATCTATATATATATATATTTATACATACATACATACATACATACATACATACATACATATATATATATGTGTGTATATATATATATTACCATAGGTCCAAAAAAAAGCCTCTGCCAAGTCGCTATTGGTCCGATCGTCCGGCTCGGCTGTGGTGCCAGGCTCGGGCTCGAAAAAGCGCGACCTCGGCGAGGACTTCGAAGTCATAGGGTTTAGGGTTTAGGGGTTTAGGGGTTCAGGGTTTAGGGGTTTAGGGTTTAGGGGTTTAGGGGATTTAGGGGTTTAGGGTTTAGGGCCTTGAGGGTTCAGAGTTTAGGGTTTAGGGCCTTGAGGGTTCAGGGCTTAGGGTTTAAGGTCTTGAGGGTTCAGAGTTTAGGGTTTAGGGTCTTGGGGGTTCAGGGCTTAGGGTTTAAGGTCTTGAGGGTTCAGAGCTTAGGTTTAGGGTCTTGGGGGTTCAGGGCCGTGGAGGGAAGTTGTGGAGTTTTTGTGACTTTAGACGGGCAATTCAGAGTTGAGGGTTCGGGGCAGGCAGCTACTTTCTCTCGATGCCCTCGCGCCCTAGCGCTCGAAGTCCCCCACCCGAAAGCCCCTGATCCTAATCTAGGGGCCGTATGAATTAGGCTACTGGCGTTCTGCTAGACCCTCCTCGAGCCATCTGCTGGCTGCCCCAATCAAACTTAAGCCCCAAACTCTGAAACCCTAAACCTTGGGTGCTGCCCCCCATACAGTAACAGTCGATAATAGGGCTACTACTATTAAGGGCCCTATATATCCAGAATAGGAATAATGCTCAACTGTTACTGAGCGAGCGCAGTATCCAACCTAAACCCGTAATTAAACCCGAGATCCCTAAACCCTGAAGCCCTCTTAAAGGGTTCAGGGTTTAGGGTTCAACCATGGGCCCTAGAAGCCCTAGAAGCCCCAGAAACCCGCAAACACAAAGGCCTACGTCTTGGTTCTCCAGAGAACCCAATATCCCTCAATTAAGGAATATACCCTTAAATTATAGGGGAACCTAATAATATTATGATTTAAGGTACATTCCTTACTTAAGGGGTATTGGGTTCTCTGGGTCCCTAAGCCCTAAACCCTAAACCCGATCTCTGCGTCCCCAGAAAGGCCTGGGCTCTCTGAGCTCCCTGCGTGCAGCGGTTTGCAGGTGCCGAGATCCTTCAGAAGTTTCAGGGCTTTCTGGGGCTTCTAGGACCTAATAAGGCTTCTGGGCTTTAGGCTTTGAGGGCTGTTTTTTTGGGGGATTGCTACAAGTGTTACCACAAGTGTCATCATAAGGCCAACTCGATTCGATATATCAGATTTTAAGAAGGCGTGGTGTTGAAGGGGTGTAGGGTTCATGATTTCCCGACCCAGGGTCTGGATTGTAGGTTCTGGTGGCTCAGGGTTTAGGCAGGGAGCCCATCCCTCAGACCGGCCCTTCTCCCAATCCCCATCCCTAATCGCCCCAAGCACCGCATGCAGAAGCCACAAAACCGAAGGCCACCGTTAAGGGTCAAGGGTTCAAGGGTTAGGGGTTTAGGGGTTCAGGGGAGCTTAGGATATTAGGGCATAAAAGGTCAGAGCATACTTCCGTCACTACCTGGCATCAGCTGCCACAAGAAGCCGCTAAATATCCGCACGTGATAGCACTGATTCATCTCCTGTTCCCTTGAGCTGCAGTTGCCTAGTCCTAAGCAGTAGTTCACTACTAAGATAATCCTTCTTGTCGCACCGTCACCACTTATTGTAACTGTCTCGCGCTCTGTCTGTGTTCCTTATTGCAGACCGATAGAGCCCTGGCGCACTTGGGTCTGTAGTAGGTACAAGAAGAGCAAAGTCGTATACAGCTTGCAGCACATATATATATATATGGAGAGAGAGAGAGAGAGGTGTGTAGTGCATGTGTATATACATATGCATTTTACATACATACATACATACATACATACATACATACATACATACATTAAAGACGTATAGACAGATAGATAGACAGGTCGATAGATAGAGAGAAAGAAAGATAGAGAGATAGATCGATAGAGATAGAAAGATAGATAGACAGGTAGAAGGTCCTGCATCGTAGGCGGCATCTATTGCGGCATCTATGGACTGCAGGCCATCCTCCGCAGCAAGGGCTGAGGTTGGGGCATCTTCAGAATCCAACCCAAAGGGTTTACGGTTTCGGGATAATAGTGTTCAGGGCTTAAAGATTTATGGGGTTTAGGGATGGCTTACTGTTTGCGGCAGGGACTGAAAGGTACAGTTGCCTGCACCAAAAAACGAGCCGTCACCCTTGTAGGAAGCACTCTTGAAAACATCGCCCGTCCGACGCTTAAATGTGGTTGGGAAGCGGAGTGGAACTACGTGTTCGCTGGACTCGGGACAAGGACAGTCAGGCTTTACAGTCTTAATGGGTTTATGAAAGTGGCTTCAGCTGTTGATTCTCCGCAATGTGTATGTGCATTTATGCTCAGGATTTGCGGACCAGGCTTTGCTTGAACAGTCCATCGTTTCTGACTCACCTAGGCTTCATATGCTCAGTATAGGACAGGTGCTCGTCACACGTTGTAAGCCTTACCGCTGCAGCAACTGTCGCATATGGAACACTGAAGCCAAACAGCCAACAGAAATCCTGCTCGTAGCTTCTTTCTCTTAAAGTCTTAGTAGGGTGGCAGATGCAGGGCGGTTCCTGCACATCGCCGCCAAGCCAGCTGCGACGGAGCTTCACGAAATGCTCGTACTCCTGCCAGCGTCTTTGAGATTTCGGGTGCTTTGTACTCGAGAAGTTACAACCCCTAAACCAGCACAGATATCATCATCGACGAGGCATGGCAATGGAATGGATACTATAGACAGAGTTGACGTTCCATGAAGGTCATGTCGATGTGAATTTGGCTCCGTGAGCCTAAGTCGTCGCTGCTCATGCTTGTTACTACTTTTGAATTACCACAACACCGTTGAAAGGAAAAGTGACGAGCCGAACGCGGAAACTCTTGGAAAGCACAGGACGATGTGACATCCGCCTGCAGAAGATAGTAGCACTGCACCGAGCTGAAGCTCTGTACCATCAATCGTTGTCGTGGCCGTCATCATACGTAGTTGCGTAGGTATACCTATAGTAACAGTAGCAGAAGCAGAAGCAGGAGCAGGAGCAAGCGTAGTAGTAGCAATAGTAACAGCAGCAGTAATCGTAGCAGTAGTAGCAGCGATGGTAGTTCGGTAGAAGTATAAGCAGAACAAGAAGAATTAGTAGTACTTGCAGAGTAGTAGCTTTCGCAGTAGCAGTAGTGGGTAGTAGGAGGAGGAAGAGGAGGAGGAGGGAGAGCAGAGCCTTCGTCGTGGGTTGCACCTTACTAGGTACGACGTAGTCGCAATTTCATGGTCACAATCAAAAATCTCTTTTACCTGCCGCGTATTCGGCAACAACACCGGTGAGTGGATAGGTGGACGTGGCTTTATGACTCGCGAGCCCGGCCCTCAGGCTCAAATCCCTCTATCCCCATGCCCCTGTATCTCCCCCAGCAACACGGCTATCCTTCCATAGCAAGCCACAGAGCGCTAGGTTGCAAAGGTAGGCCGTTGGCACGACCAGCCACAGCCTGCCAAAACAGGGATGAGCATCAATCAAATGGAACATCGAGCCTGTGCTGACTCTGGACCTGGCTTTCAGAACCGTAGTATACCCTGGATGAAAACACAACCCGATGCAGCTCACCTGATGCTGCCTGCAGGCACGTTTGACCTTAGAAGGACGGCATGAACACGCGCCGCACCGAGCTAGCTATAGGCTTGGGGACTTGGACGAGGAAGGATCTGTTGTCTGCGCAAAACTTGGTGAATTGGGTGCGCGGGTAAAATAGCGTAATTGCCGTCACGAGCAGACACGCATTGAGATAATGCTCAAGAGTCATCTCATGTAAAATGCGCGGCCAAACAAACCCCAAACCAAGGGGGAGACACTCACTAGCAACAATGGTCATGTAGCTATACGGCTATGCATGCTGCGTGGTACTTTGCTGAAAGCATCGTGTGCGAGACTCTTGTAGCTGGGCTCTTCGACAAGACAGACAGATAGCGAAAGTGGCAAGCAAATGCGAATCTGCAAGGAGCACCTTGCATGTCAGAGCTAAAGATTGGGCCTTCGTGGCAAAATCCGAATCCACAACCCCCCCAAACTTCGCTTAATTATTTTACTCAGTACCTGACTCCTGAACCCTTGCTGGGTCCGGAGCAAGCTGTAGAGCGCCAATGATCCCGGTGAGCCCTCTGTGCGTTCCCCGGCCTCGACTGGCTTTCCGAGCCCTTTCCATTCCCTACTGTCCCAAGACGGGGTGATTTATGAAGGACACATAGGCGAAGCCATTGAGTGTCTGTTGTGCTTGCCTTTCCGGCAGGTTGGTTTTCATAAGAAAACTGCTGCCGACCATCCAAGGCGCAGAGTAGGCAGGCACGAGGCAAAGGCACCAAACACCGCAAAGCGCCTCGCTGTTCCGGGAGACTGCAGGACTTTTAGTCAGTGCGAGATTGTAAACTAAGCGTGCCGCGTTTCTGTTTCTTGCTCAATTCGGGCATTCTCTGTTCAATCTCATGCAAAGTTGAAGTGGTCGTAAGTATAGGTTAAGCACGCACTTCATGTGCACATTCTAAAACTGCACAAAACACATTGAAACATGGATGCAATAATCACTATGTGCTGTATGCATGCATGCATGTATGCATGTATGCATGTATGCATGTATGCATGCATGCATGCATGCATGCATGAATGTACGCATGTATGCATGTATGTATGTACGTACGGACACACACACACATATATATAGAGAGAGAGAGAGAGAGTGAGAGTGACAGGTGTGTACATATAACAGATATACACGCATGCATGCATACACACACATACGTACATACATACATACATACATACATACATACATACATACACACATACATACATATAAATAAATAAACACATATACATACATACATACATACATACATACATACATACATACATACATATATCTATATATACATATATTTATATATTGTACATACATACATACATACATACATACAGACATACCTACATACATACGTACATCCATGCATACCTACATACATGCGTACCTACATACATACCTACATGCATACCTACCTACCTAC